GAAAGATTGAGAAAGCAAAATAAAGAAAATAAATAATAGAAGTTCAAGGCAGAAAATATAACACCCTAAAATAGCTCATCTATACCCTTTAGAAAGGTGGTAGAACAGAAAGAACCTATCCAGTAGTCCAAAGTCCAAACAGATGATGAACAAATATAGAATTCCTGAAATGGTGCTCTAGTCCAAAAATAAGGTGAAATTGTTTGGTCAGACAGATCACAGACTGAACCAAATATTTCTACAAGAAACGATGGACAAAATATAAAAAGGAATTTCTAGAAACAAGAAACAACATATTCTTCTAATCAAATAGATGAAAATCGCATTAACCAGAAGAATTAAAACACAAGGAGCAAGAAATAATGAAATTCTAAAGCGAATAAAGAAAGAGAACACAAGCTTCCATAAAACACTCTGAGTTTGAATAATCTAATTCCAGAAAGAACAGAAATGAAACCTCAAAACTTGGAAATTAATTTAAAATCGGCCATTCTTCTAATCAATCAAAATCACAGGAAATTCCGAACCAAATAATGAAATCTATAAATATTTATACCAAGATTCCAAGAAAACTAAGAATGCAAGATTACCAATCACACAATAAGAGTTCAAAATCAAACCAAAACGAAAAAACAAAAGAAACCTCTTATATAAGAACAGCCGAAATGAGAGATCAAAACCACCATTCTCTTCAGGAAAAAAAAAACACAGGTAAAGAAAATCCAACCTGGCTTGTAAAAGATAAAGAGACCAAAATCTGTAGTCTTGAGCTTGGCATCATCACCAGGTTTATCAAACAAGAAATTCTCAGGCTTGAGATCTCTATGCATAACCCCCAAGGAATGGCAATACTCAACCACTACAATTATATTCTTGATCAAGTTAGCAGCCTCTTTCTCACTATAATGACTCTTTACCACAATTCTATCAAAAATCTCACCACCTGCACATAACTCCATAACCAAATGTACAAACATTGGATACTCATAAGTATCCTTAATTTGCACCACATTTTGTTGCCCTGACAAATGGTGCATGATCTGGATCTCTCTATAAACATCCTCATAGTCTTCTTTACATAAAAGTTTCCTTTTTGGAATTGATTTGCAGGCGTAAAGATCGCCGGTTGCTTTATGGATACATAGAAATGTGGTTCCAAATTGACCTTGCCCTAGTTTCTTTCCTAATAAATAATGGTCCCTAAGTCTTGGGGTTTGACGTCGTAAAACTGAGGTTGTGGGCTTTCTTATTGTTGGTCTTGCTCTTGGTGCTGGTGCTGGTGCTGGTGCTGGTTGTTGTGGTGGTGTTGCTGTGGTTTCTTCGTTCATTTTTGTGGTAAAGATTGAATCTTTTTTGGGTTTTGGATCCAAAGAAACTGTTTTTGTGTTTTCTTTCAATCCTTGAGGAAGCAAGGAAGAAAGAAAGAAGGGAGGGGATTTCTTGTTCTTCTTTGATATTTGATATTATGTGAGCTGAAGTGGCATTCCGATTCAGAATTTATATATATATTTTTTGGCTTGTTTATTTTGGTTTTTGGGTGGCAGGATTATGTGGGGCTCTATTTATTGGATTCGTGAGTGTTTTACAGGTCATCATATCAGGATTAATGGAAAGAAGATTAGCTAGGATTATACTTTACTCTATAATTATTATTTTATTTTTTTTCAAGTTTAACTTGTGTTTATTTAGGAGATCCTTTTAATGGATTATAAAAGAATGAGGAGGCAGGGGGAAAAAAAGAGGGTTTTTTTTTTATTTTTTATGCAAGAAATATTGTTGGATTAGCTATCAGGTCAATTAAAATTAAATTTTCTATATTGATGATTTTAATGAAACATCCATACGTTTTTATGAAATTTGAAAACAAATTTGGAGAGTTTTTTTTTTTTTTAATGAAAAAATGAGTATGGAATATATGTACGGTGAGGTTTTCTTTCTTTTATGTAAATTATTCTCTTGTCCCTTGTTTAGATATTTCCTCTTGGATATTTCCTTTTGAGAGAAAAGAAAAGAGAGGAAAGAAAGTGAGAGGAAAGAAAATTATTTTTCATTTGTTGTTTGGAGAAGAGTGGAAATGAAAGAAAAGAAAGTATATTTTTCTTGTTTGGATAATTGTAAAAAGAGGGAGGAAAGAAAATGTATTATTATATATTTAATATAATACCCCTATGCTTATATTTATATATTTAAATACTTATAATAAATTTGTATGAATATTTTTTTCATGAAAATAACATAAATGATAATAAAATAAAAATCTAGCACGTAGCATCTATTTGAAATGATAAGATGAATAATGAATCGTCTACATAGAATAATCGATAATCTGTTTATTAATTAATTAATTCAATAGCCAATTTAAATTAATTATCAACATAAAATTCAATAACCGACAAAGTACAAAAATTAGCATATTTTTAAGTCGTAATCACTACAAAAAATGAAATGATTTACACAAAGATCCCTTTACACAATTCATGAGGTCAGCTTACTATCGGGGAGATTAGCAAGGGTGTGTTAAACCTAACAATATAAAAAATCGATCCGAGCTTGTCCGGAAGATCGAGGAAGACCTTGACCCCCAACCCCATAACTTGGGAACCATAGCTTAAGAACCTCACAATGGCAACATAGAGTGTAATATGGGCATGCCAACTAAACAAATCATAAAATATACAATGATATCATTAGGATTTTACTTCTTCATGAGTATGACTGTTCTAGGTTAAGATGAGAGAAAAAACAAGCAATGATTCATACACTGCGAGTACTACCGAATTTTGGATGAGTCTATCTCTAATATAGACATGGCTGGATTATAGAAGTGATCGCATTTAATAGATCGATAAACATGAAAGAGAGCAAGACTCGAAGCTGTATGAAGCTTGTGATACCACTTAGCTTCATAGGGGTACAAATAGGTTGCTTTAATATGAGTTCATGGCTCTAAACATGGAAACTCAAGTCTAAGCACCAATCCAGGCTGAAATTCTAAAGTACTCGAAGCCTTCTAAAACTATAGCTATCCGACTACTTTGTTTGGATATTCCGAATGTTTACGTCAAACAATCCACCAAATAATCAACTAAACCAATCATTATAACATGGATTGAGCGAGCAATTAGTTGAAAATATCTTGTTCACACCGTATTGATGAAATGGAACCCTTATTACTCAAGGGAATAAATGTTTAGTCTTAATATAGTAGACCTCCTTTCCTCTTAAAAGCCACTTCTCTATCTTTCTCTTCTAGATCGATAAACAAGAAATTTTGGATGTGGGCAAAGTATAATTCTATTGAACGAGAGAAGAAGATAAAACTTACGACCTCATATTATAATAAAGGTACGGAATGCACAAAAGTGACATACAGCGAGTGCCCTATAACGAGAAAAAAATAAGCATAAAACCCCTTCGTTATATACTCCGGCAAAATCACTTTATTTATCCGAGATGAGGAATCGTAAGGATTGATGTAATCAAACTCCGGATCCGCTAAGGCCATAAGCTGTAACAAATTCTACAAAATGTCAAATTCAATTTTCCAACATCAAAGACCTCAATTTAGACACGCAAACAAATGTCGAACTAATCCACACATGTTGCAATTTCCAAACACCTTTTCTTTGAATTTCTTTAGCAATCATCCTTCAAATAATCTTATTTTCATTATCCACAGAAAGCAATAAATTCCGAGCCTAATCAAGTTGGACGAGTGAATTGATCAAAACCAATAAGATAAACAACCCATCAGCAAGAATTAGACAACATGCCGACAAATTTAGATATGCAGCTACCCTATAAAAACACAATTAAAACCCCGATCAAAATTTAACATGATTAAGTACCCAATAAGCACTCGAAAAAAAAAATATAGAAACAAGCACAAAACCATAATTTTCTTAGTTTTGAAACAACTAAAATTCTAAAAATCAACAAATTTATGAACTTTGGAAAAATTTAACCGACCCACGTGAAAAGTAAGTAAATTAGAGAAAAATAAACAAAGGGGTTCGAAGAATGACCCGAAAGATGATGATAACAAGTAGAGCAATAAGAATGAAGAAGGCTATCAGCCATACAAAGAGATCTCCCATGCTCCTTACCCTACTCTAATCTTTTCCTCTCTACTCGCTCAACTTTCTTTCAATTTTTTGTTAGCTCAAAAAGAGATGCTAGCTGAGCTGGGTGCTTATTAATCACTCTTTCAATTTTCTTGGAGAGAGAAAGAGAGAGATTGTGTTTGCAGAGAAGGGAACGGCTACGAGCAAGGGCAAAGCCGTGAAAAGCAAAAACAAAAATACATTTCTCACGTTTTTTTCTCCGTTGCCTCCTAATTTTGAAAGAAAAATGGATCCCATCATTTTTACATTGTTTATTTTTTTTCTTTCCACTCGCTTTCCTCTCTCCTCTCAAATAATGGAAACTTTTCCTTTCATTCCTATTTTCTTTCCTCTCCCTCACTTTCTCCCTTATCCAAACAAGGGGTTGGTTTGCTAATTTTCCTGCGGAAAATAGGGTTAGTGGGTACGGACTAAGGTTATTCTTAATTGTGGAGTGGAATCAAACTAATGGATCCGATGTTATTTATTGATAACTTCGAAAAAATGTCTAAATCTTTCCCGGAGGAAGACTTGTCATGGGCAAGGCCTTCATTTACTAAGTCTTGTCATTATCTTAATTGGTTTCCGGGAAAAAAAAAATAGTAGTAAGTGCTATGCAAGTTATGAACCTTTGCTTCATTAAGCATTCGATTGTTCAAAGGCATTAAACATGAAAAATTTGGGTAACATGATACTAGTCCCCAAACTATAAACCACTTCTCAATTAGACCCCTAATCTATTTTCTTATCAATTCTCCAACCAATACACCAATCCTTAATTAAGCCCTTCGTCCAAATTTGTTAGTATTTCCAACGTAGGATATGCAATAAAACTATGTTAAGTTTAATATAACTTAACGTTATTTATTAAAAAAAAAAAAAGAATAAATGAATTGTCTCTTGGTTCATTTCGCCATCCCACCCAATAAATCATTAAGATTCGTTTTCAATAAAATCTTATGTATTCATAGGTTCCATCGTTCCCATCGCTTTTCGATTAATGGTTAGGTCTTAATTATACAATGGAGTAGAGGTGTTCATTCGATTTTTCGGTTCGGTTTCGGTGTTTTTTTTTTAGTTTTCTGTTACCCAAATTCGCTAAAATAAAAACCGAACCGAATTGATGTTCGGTTTTTTGATTGAAAACCGAATTTTTTCGGTTCGGTTTTTTGGTTTTCCGGTTAAAAACCAATTTTTTTTCTTCTAAAGATCGAATTATTTTGCTTTTAAAAAATATCAAACTTGCATAATCAAAGATTGCATATTTCACATTTGATTTTATAAGAAACTTATGTATGATTATTATTATTTTTCTATAATAAATATGTTTCTATTTATATTATAAACTAAATTAGTTGGGTTTCTCATTATTTTTTCAATCACGCTATAATTGGTTTTAAATTAATTTTTCATATTCTTTTTTTTAATCTATTTATTTTGTGCATATTTTATTGTTGAATATATAATATGAAAAATCTAATTTTTAATTTATGTTTGTGTCAATTTTAATACAAGGAGACAATTTTTTTTTCATGAGGTTTTAGGATTCACCCATACATAAATTTGTGTTTTTATAAAGAATTTCTTTATCATAGTCTTTTTTTATATATATTTTTTTGTAAGTCAATAGAATATAATCAATTATTTTTTATTTTAATAAATAATTAATGAAAAATATTTCTATTTTAAGTAGAAAAAAATCATTAAAGCTATTGTTCTTTTAGTTAAACCCATAGGTGCCTCTTTGATTTAAAAAAAAAATACTAATAATTCGGTTTTCGGTGGAAACCGAATTTGAAAAAACCCCAAAACGAATCGAAATAATTTCGATTTTCGGTTTCGTTTTTTTTTTAATTTTTTTTTTAAATGAATCGAAATTGTTAATTCGGTTCGATACGGTTCGGTATTTCGGTTTTAACCGAATAGTGAACACCCCTACAATGGAGCCCCTAAATTTGCTTTTTAGTCAATGTTCTTAGTCTTTATTGGCCCAAGGCTCTTGATTTTTTTGTTCTATGAATGAACGGGATTCATTTAATTATGGATCAATCGATATTGATGCTTTATTACATTGATTTTTATGATATGACCTATGGACCTTGCACATATTGGAATCCTATATTATTGATATTCTTTTTCTCTATTTCTCTCATCCTTCCATTTATTTGCATAATTTTCAATTTTCCTTTACAATACATAATCAGATTGGTTTTTAGTTTATTTATGCAAAAAAGATTTCAATTACTACAATGAAATGACCAATATATTTTATCTTGACTTTGACTGCTTTTTTTGATTCAGATCCAGATAATGTGAAGTGATGAGTTGGTTATAAATTCTATATTTATACTTATTAATTCATTAGTTCATAGTATGCATTGGTCTTTTTTTTTATAATCTTGACCTTTGAAAAACCAACGAGTCACACACTAAGCATAGCATATTAAATAATCAATCAAAGTTTTTATTTTATTCAACCTTATTTTATTTAACCCTTGTGGGATTGATGTGAGGGGGTAGGGATGGCTACATTTCTTGGAGCGAACTCTAAGCGAATATAAAGCGCATGGATACAAGCCTTGAAATAAAAGATAATTCTAAATCAGCTTTGTCTATGAATAAGGAAGCTATAAGTAATGCAACTAACAATCTCATGGAGAGTTCGATCCTAGCTCGGGATGAACGCTAGTAGCATGCTTAACACATGCAAGTTAGACGAGAATTGGTGTTTCCAAGTGATAGACGGGTGAGTAACACGTAAGAACTTGCTCTTGGGAGGGGAACAATAGCTGAAAACGACTCGCTAATACTACATAGGTTGAGGAGCAAAAGGAGGAATCCGCTCGAGGAGGGGCTCGTGTCCGATTAGCTAATTAATGAGGCAATAGCTTACCAAGCTTGTGTGTTCCCGTGATAGCAGATTTGAAGAATGACATACTAAGAGAGGCACACGTATCTCCGTACTCGATACATCCAGGAAGCACTAAAATGTATCAAGATTTGAGAAAGAGTTATTGGTGGTCGGGAATGAAGAAAGACGTGACGAACTATATGACGAAGTGTCGGACCTATCAACAAGTGAAGGCGAACATCAACGACCCGTAGGAATGTTACAACCACTAGCAATTCCGGAATGGAAATGGGAACACATCACTATGGACTTTGTTATGGGATTGCCAAGGTCGGAAAAGGGTTCGGATGCCATTTGGGTGATCGTGGATAGAGCTAACCAAATCAGCACACTTCCTTCCAATGTGGACCACTTATAACCCGAGCCAGTACACCCAATTATATCTTGATGAAATCGTAAGACTACATAGAGTTTCGGTCTTAATTGTGTCGGATCAAGATCCTAGGTTCACCGTAGCATTTTGAAAGAGTTTGTATAAGGCCATGGGAAGTCAAAGTTAAACTTTAGCACGACTTATCATCTAAAGACCGATAGGCAATTGGAACGAGTCATACGGATTCTCGAGGACATGCCGCGAGCATGCGTCCTTCATTAGTCCAGGAAATGGAAGAATTATGTACGCCTTGTGGAGTTTACCTACAATAATAGCTATCAAACGTCCATCGGGATGGCTCCTTATAGGGCTTTGTGTGGACGGCGATGTAGATCCCTAATACATTGGGATGAACTAGGAGAAAGAAAATTATTGGGCCCCGAATTGGTGCAACAAACAACCGAGATAGTGGAGAAGATTCGCCAACGGATGAAGATGGCCCAAAGTTGACGGAAAAGCTATGTCGATCAAAGAAGAAAAGATCCGGAGTTTGAAGTGAGTGATTATGTCTTCTTAAGGGTTTCCCCGATGAAAGGCATACCGCAATTTGAGACGAAAGACAAATTGAGTCCTCTCTATGTTGGACCGTTTGAGATACTTGATCGCATAGGCGATAAGGCATACCACCCGTTGCTACCATCAACCTTGTTAGGAGTATATGATGTCTTTCATGTATCCATGTTAGAAAAATGTATCGAAGAGCCTAGTCAAGTTCTGGAGGCGGTGCCATCGAACTTGACCTCGAACTTAACATATAAGAAAATACAATCCAGATTCTCGATCGATGACTTAAACACCAAAGGAATAAAGACATTGCCTTAGTTAAAGTTTTGTGAGAGAATCATGACCTCGAAGAAATGACATGGGAACTAGAAGAGGAAATGAAAAAGAAATACCCAAAGTTATTTGCATAAGCCAATTTCGAGGAGGAAATTTCTTTTAAGGAGAAAAATGTAACTCTCGTGAACTTGCTTAACATAGCTATACGTACAAAAATAATTTTATCTACATCTAACAAGATAAATCAATACGTTTGCTCACAAAAACAGTGCTTCCAAGCATGCTAGAAACTATGCAAATGATAAAGATATGGTTCGGAAAAAGGAAAAAGGAAGACAAAATGAAACTAAACCTTTAAAGGTACATATGTATGTGAAACTAAAATACCTTGACGTGCACAATTTGGATCCACCTATCCATAGCACCCAACCACTTGTTGATTTATAAGGTTTCTTCTATTAGTAACAACTCCACCAGTAATCATACTTAAAGTTAAATAATATAGGGTTTTCATCGTACAAATCAAAGAAATTGAACTTGTCAACTCCTACATCAAGAAGTTGTAGTGCAAAAAAAATAAGTTGTTATTATTAGAGGGGATCCCAACAATATTTGAATCGAAAGGTATTAAGGCAGACCTGATCAAGCATTATATGAGCTGCATCTACATTGCGAATCAAGTAGGGCAAAAATGGTGTATTCCAATACAGAAGCAAAACCAAGGGCAACCTTGATCCTCATTGGCCAGGAAAAACTATCTGAAAATACAAAGAAGCACTTGTTTACTCGATCATACCTTATAATTAATCATCCTACTTAGTCAATAGACACCATGAAATACTCCAAACAAGAACATGCATGCATGATTCAAGCAAAGGACAATCCTCTAAATACTAATCAGATGACTATCATAAAAACTTACCAGAAAGAGCAAATTAATAGCCAGCAAATTGTCGATGGATCAATTAAATAGTGGTCCCCTCGATGCCTAAATGGCTCCAGATAAAATAAATATCAAAAAATTAACTTCTTTCTTTCTTATTTCTACCTTAGCATTGCAACAAACTGGGTTATCAAATTTACTTTATTTTCTGTAATTAAATTCCCTAGATAAAAGCACTTGACAAAGAGTAACAAATAAAAACATAAACGGTAATAGAATACTATACTAAATAAATAAATAAAACCGAACCTTCTTTTAACAGATTATACACTGTATTGTGAGCCTCAGCTTTTAGAAGATAAACATCGCCTAGATGTCCACTGTACTCGCAATATCCAAGCAAGGCAGCTACGTTTGGATGACAAAGGGACTTGTTTCTGTCTAAAAACTCGTAAAATTCAACTTCAGCCTACAAAAAGGCAAAGCATGAAAATCCAAAATCATTAAATTCCAAAGATACAATTGGAATAATTAATCAAATCCAACTACTATTTCTAATACAATATATTATATGGGTAATTATGAAAATCTATGAATTATTCCAATAAATAACCCTTGACTTCCACTAGAAAATAAAGAGTAAGAGTTTAGTAGTTGATTACCTTTAAGCGGGTTACATTATCAGGGGGAGCACTTTATGAAGATGATAAAGAGTATTATCATCATTGCGAGCATATACCCCATGATAAACTTTGCCAAACTGGAAGTTTCACACGAATCCATTTGCAGTTTCGCTCGATCATGGCGCCGTGCAAGAGGAGATAAATCTGTCAGGATCACTGCTCAGACTGCTTACTGAATCTCCTCTTTGCTGCCAAGGACATATTGTAATATATCAGCATATGATTTTTTTAAAGGTAAGCTTCCAGCTAACTTTTATGTCATTGCTAGCAAATCAAATGATCTTCTATTCCTGTTAGAATTTAGAGAGTCCTCAATTGACGTCTGAAATTTTTAAAGCACAAAGATAATAAAAAATTGCATTTGTTCAAACCCAAGACAACTATCAAAAATAAATTTAAGTAGCGTGTATGTGGTTAGGCCAACATTATTGATATGACCAATACAGTTGCTCATATATCCTTAATTAAAATAAATGTATGTAGTCTGTGATAGTCACTGAAGCACTAATTATGCTTAATCTTTTGTTTCGCTGCTAGGAATATTGAACTTATTTGGAAGTTACTTAGTTATTTTTATTTTTACATTTCTGCTCTCATAAGGTGATGCTAGAAGATTGGGTCTTAATGTTGACCTTGGGAAGTGAGTTTTGTTTTGTTTTGTTTCTTGTTTTTAATATTACATTTAGTTATATTCTTTTTTGCTATGTACTTATTTTTGTTTTGAGTTTGTTTCTTCTATATGGGGTTACATAAATTTACACGAGTATTTGTGTTTTAGGTGGATGAAAGGTCTAAGGTGAACCTGATTTGATAATCTTCGAGATTTTAGCAAGATAAAGTGTTTAAGTTTTGATTTTTAATTTACTAAAAACATGATACCATGATAGAGGTCAATATGCATGCTATATATTTATTTCATGTAGGAGATATCTCCACAATGAGAAAAGTGTTAACTTCTGTAGATTGTGAATTAGAGTGAAAAACTAACGGATCTGTTTTTAGTGTGCATAAAGCTCTTGGATAGCTGTGTCTATGCGCGTGGTTGATTGAAAGAGTTGGTGGTCTATAATCTTGTTTTTGTTGCTTTTGAGTTACTCTTCTACTTGCTTCTGTAGAAATTGGTTATCGGTTGGTGCTCAACGTAAAGACACCGTGCGTTGCATTCTTATGAGAGTTGGTCTAATAACCCCACCACCGATGCTTGTGATGGGACAGAAAAAAGGACCATCCGGTGATAACTTGAACCCAGAGAAGTCAATCACCCTAAAAAAGTTGCCATTGCTACAGATTTATATTTCTGCTCTGTTCGGTATCTGTAAGCTAAATTCCCTTTTTCAGTTTGTTGAATGAACTTGGGTTTAATCCCTGTTTTTAGTTCATACTCGGGTTTCATTATATTTGCTCTTAATGCATGCTTGGCAAACAAGATGTTAGGTTTTTGTATGAGAATCCCGTAGTTAGCATTAGTGAGCACATGGATGAATGCACTTTAGAATGCTATCTTGCCTGCTTTTAGTTTACACAAGCAGTGAAGCACTTGGACGGCATGAATGCACTTTAGAGATGTTATCTTGCCTGCTTTTAGTTTACACAAACAGTGAAGCACTTAGACGTATAGGATAGGTGAACTAAGAGCACTTGCCAGTTGCCACTCAGAAGTTGAGAAAAAACACAATTAGCTATACATAGTTGGGAAGCAAGAGAGGATTTCTTTTGTTTGAGTATCATGAGCTAGAGCATGTAGCGAGAGTATTATGTACAAGTATGATAGGGATGGAACACTAGAATGATTCAAACTATGCTTTGCACTTATCATGTTTAGTGAATCTTTTGCATCTGAAATATTTTGCCTTCGAGAAATTCCAATAAGTTGTATCAGAGCTGTGTCAAATTCAACATGATATTCCTCATGAGCTGTGAAAAAGACTTAGATTGGGCAGAGCCTTCCGCTGACATTTGGGCTTCATACTCACTTCTGGCCCACTTATAAACAAGGGGCATGTCATCAGTTATAAGGTCTACTTCTGAACAAATTCTTTTGGATATCAGGTCCACACCATATGCAAACACATCACCTTCTTCTAGTCCTGCATGCCATGGGTTCTAAAAGTTATTGGACTTCTATAAAGACTCCAGTATATACATGTAGCATCTTCAGAGAACAAGAATAGGAAGAAGCAGAAAAGCGTACAGCATGGTCAGCTTGTGTTCAAGGATTAACAAATAAACCAAGTAACATAGTCTACATAACGGACAGAAGTGCAAGTTACCTGGCATTTCATAGTAATGGTCTTCCATGTAACCATTGCATCCACGCATGCACAGTATATACCTTTCGCTACAAGGTTATATACAGTATCCAATGGGTTAAGGTCATAAACTACACCAAGTTTCTCCCCTTCATAGCAGTACCCTATCAACTTTACCAAGTTTGGATGATAGACCAGTTTAGCATGCTGAAGCAAAACAATTTCATCCTACAAGATAAAATCCAAATTAAGCTGACCAAAAAATAAACTTTTTAATTCCATTTGCAATCAATGAACAAAACTACATTATATTTGGCAACATACCCTCACCCTGCCTTCATTATGGCCTGGCTCAACCTTATAACAGCATTGAAGTTCCCAAACCTTCACTGTCACTGGCCATTCTTCAATCCTTCCAAGAAACACTCTTCCAAATCGAAAGTTATCACGAAATTTTCTCCATCAAATCCTTTGGTGAACATACTCAACTCTTCGTAAGAAAATATCTGTAGCAAATTGTGATCTTGTCCTGAATATCCTTTCTCTAGGGATATTTAAATAGAAATAAGGAATAAAGGGTGTGGGAAAAATATACTCAAACAGAATAGAATATGCAAATTAAATGACAAGTATACAGATAGTTTGCTAAGAACATCTTCTCCCCTGCCTGACCACAATCAAAAATATTTCTATGAACTTTGTATAACCGGCGCTCCCAGTGAATTGATTCAGAAAAATGTTCCCAAAAAAGCTTTAAAATTGGGCGCATCGAATTTTCCATGGTGTTTCTTCAAATTCCAATATAAGATTTGAAAATCAGATCTCTTAAGCATTGCTCTCAAATATCCTATTCATCAAAGTCACATCAGCGCCTTGGCAGGTTAGCTCACATAACCAAGATAAGTTCCATGGACAAGAAATATACTGCCAAATTATTAATTCTCATGTGTAAAGCCTTTAAATATGATTCCCAAATCCCTATCGACAACATTTCATGGAAGATGCTATATACTAACAAATAAACCACGATTCGTCATCTTATCTGGCAAAAGTTTGGGGCTCCTGTTATTTGGATTTACTTAACAAGTCCCGACCATACAGAAAAGGAGGAGAACACAGAATAAATATTATTGTATACTGCAAATAATTGGTAGCTAATATCATGTACCTGAATACTGATCTGGCTGTTGTTTGCTTAGTATTATAACTAGGAACAGGAAGTGTCTGATCACTGGCGAAATTGGAAGCATAAAGCTGAACAGCACGCAAATTCCCCAAATACCTGACAACTTGCTTCATGGTCGGGCGCTTCTGCGGATCATTTTTCACACATTGCATTGCTAGCTTTGCGATTCTGATTCCATCACTGGAATTAAAAAAAAAGGTCCAGACTCAAGGTTTTGGTGTACGAGTGAAGTACCCGAACCCATAGTTGATTTTCTCTGCATGTACTCACGTTTGGCCCATTCAAAAACACTGGGTGTATCAGGAGCATCATCTCCTTTTGTGTCTACTCTTTTGCTTATTAAACTCAGCAGCAGAACACCAAATGAGAAAACATCGCATTTATCTGACCATTTGCCTGTTGCAGTATTGCCAATAAGTTAGTGATACAGTGAGAGAGAGCAAAAGGTAACTTTTAAGCAAACCTAACAAGATAAATCAATACGTTTGCTCACAAAAACAGTGCTTCCAAGCATGCTAGAAACTATGCAAATGATAAAGATATGGTCCGGAAAAAGGAAAAAGGAAGACAAAAGGAAACTAAACCTTTAAAGGTACATATGTATGTGAAACTAAAATACCTTGACGTGCACAATTTGGATCCACCTATCCATAGCACCCAACCACTTGTTGATTTATAAGGTTTCTTCTATCAGTAACAACTCCACCAGTAATCATACTTAAAGTTAAATAATATAGGGTTTTCATCGTACAAATCAAAGAAATTGAACTTTTCAACTCCTACATCAAGAAGTTGTAGTGCAAAGAAAATAAGTTGTTATTATTAGAGGGGATCCCAACAATATTTGAATCGGAAGGTATTAAGGCAGACCTGATCAAGCATTATATAAGCAGCATCTACATTGCGAATCAAGTAGGGCAAAAATATTATATTCCAATAAAGAAGCAAAACCAAGGGCAACCTTGATCCTCGTTGGCCAGAAAAAACTATCTGAAAATACAAAGAAGCACTTGTTTACTCGATCATACCTTATAATTAATCATCCTACTTCGTCAATAGACTCCATGAAATACTCCAAACAAGAACATGCATAAATGATTCAAGCAAAGGACAATCCTCTAAATACTAATCAGATGACTGTCATAAAAATTTACCAGAAAGAGCAAATTAGTAGCCAGAAAATTGTTGATGGATCAATTAAATAGTGGTCCCCTCGATGCCCAAATGGCTCCAGATAAAATAAATATCAAAAACTTAACTTCTTTCTTTCTTATTTCTACCTTAACGTTGCAACAAACTGGGTTATCAAATTTAGTTTATTTTCTGTAATTAAATTCCCTAGATAAAAGCACTTAACAAAGAGTAACAAATAAAAACATAAACGGTAATAGAATAATATACTAAATAAATAAATAAAACCGAACCTTCTTTTAACAGATTATACACTGTATTGTGAGCCTTAGCCTTTAGAAGATAAACATCGCCTAGATGTCCACTGTACTCGCAATATCCAAGCAACGCAGCTACGTTTGGATGACGAAGGGACTTGTTTCTGTCTAAAAACTCGTAAAATTCAACTTCAGCCTACAAAAAGGCAAAGCATGAAAATCCAAAATCATTAAATTCCAAAGATACAATTGGAATAATTAATCGAATCCAACTACTATTTCTAATACCATATATTATATGGGTAAATATGAAAATCTATGAATTATTCCAATAAATAACCCTTGCCTTCCACTAGAAAATAAAGAGTAAGAGTTTAGTAGTTGATTACCTTTAAGCGGGTTACATTATCAGCGGGGAGCACTTTATGAAGATGATAAAGAGTATTATCATCATTGCGAGCATATACGCCATGATAAACTTTGCCAAACTGGAAGTTTCGCACGAATCCATTTGCAATTTCGCTTAACCGTTTTCGTTCAAATTCACGAATATAATAACCCAACGTATCGCCCATGACAACGATGAATACATAAAATTAGGTTTTCTCTTCCAGTAGCAGAGAGTTTGATTACTCCTCAGTCTGGGTTTTATAAGTAAGAGGAGGATCTTCTTTCTATGTACTACGTATGCACTTAGGTAGAATTTATTAATTTACTAAAATAAAATTGGATTAATAACAAGACACATTATATTGTAGGGTGTAATATATTGTGGTATATATATATATATATATATATATATATATATATATATGAAAACTGAATTAAAGCGAGCAGGAGTTTCAACAGAGACAAATATTGAAATAATATAAGCAATAAAATTAGCGGATGAGGTAGTTGAATTTTCAACATTCTGTTATTTTAAATTTACTAAAAGATGAAAATATAACGCTTTTAAAAGTTTAGTGATCGAATGTAAAAATTAAGATTTTAGAGGTGAAATTCTAAAATTGTTTCAAACTAATCAAAATACGTGTTGAATTTGTTTGTTTTTAGATAAAAACAGGAAAAAAAGTGGATGAGCTTCATTAGATTGCAATAGCAGAGATAAAATTCACTACTTTCAAAATAAATAAAAAGAAAAAAGGAAAGATAATTAGCATTCACATTAAAAAATAAAATATATCTCAACTCGTGAACTACAAAGATCTAGTCTTTCTGCCGAACACTGTTTTGTTTTCTGCCTTAAATTTATGATTTTCATACTAGATCTATACAACTCTTCTTTTGGGTTGAATTTGTGACTTCTATATTAGATCTCTAACCCCTCAATAATTTTTACTAGATATATCTAAGATTTGAACCAAAAAAATTAAGAAGAACAAATATTTTTAACCACTAAACCAATCCCTTAGAGTTGAATGATTAATATATAGCCACCTTTTAACGGAAATATTTTTTAGGGAATTGAGAGTTCAAATTTTATTCTCTCTCATACGTGCTTTATATATACAATTAGTAAGAATAAAAGAGTACAAAACAGAGCTTAGCTAATTTGTTATAACTAACTAAAACAAAGGAAAAACAAAAGGAATTAAACCGAAAGCCAACTTATTCGTAACGAGCAAAAGGAAAGGAGACACATCTTGCATAAGGGAGCTCGTCCGGCATAAGGGAGTTCCATGGTAAGATTCAATGTGATATCCTCCCTCAAGCTCGGAGCATAAATATCAAGAATGCCCGACTTGATAATGTTAGCTTGGAAGGCAGCGGGATGCGAGCTTTGGTAAAATAATCGACTAATCGGTTGGAAGAGGAAACTGGAAGAAGATGAATCAGAGCCAACTTGAAGTTTCTCACGCACTATGTGACGATCTAGTTCAATATGCTTCGTACGATCATGAAAAACGGGATTATGAGCAATATGTAGAGCTAATTGGTTGTCATAAAACAAGACAAGCAAGGCTTGGATGAAGAACTTGGAAATCATATAGCAGGAATACAAGCCATTGAATTTCACAAGTAAGAGCGACCAATGCACGGTATTCAGCTTCGAAGAAGAACGAGAAACGGACTATTGTTTCTTGGATTTCCATGAAATCAAAGAAGGACCCAGGAAGACACAAAAACCTCGTTACGGACTTCTTTGTAATTTGACATGTGGCCCAATCCGAATCACTAAAAGCTTTCGGTTTGAATGAGGAATCCTTGGCCAAGAACAACCCCCGCCAAGAGATCCCTCGATGTATCTTAACACACGATGGGCAGCTTGAAGATGAGTTTCGTAGGTTTGTCAAGGAACTGTGATAATTGTTGTATGGCAAAGGAAATGTCGGGTCTTGTAGTGGTTAAATACAGCAACCACCTAATTAATTGCCTATAAGCAATGGAATCTAGCAATAAGGGACTAGTAGGATTGTACGGAGAAGTAGAATCTATCATAGGAGATTGGATCGGTTTATCGTCAAGAAAGCCATAATCCCGAAGAAGGTCCAAAGCATACTTCCTCCGACTAAGATTGATACCGAGTTAAACCGAGCAACCTCTAGTCCCAAGAATAATTTTAGATTACCCAAGTCTTTAATTTTGAATGTAGTATGGAGGAATTGTTTGACGTGCCATAATTTCATCAAGAGTATTACTAGCCTAAATCATGTCATCAACGTATATTAACGAAGCAATGAAGTTATTGCTAGTTTGCTTAGTAAATAAAGAGGGATCGAAGTAGCTCGACAAAAGCCATGAGTGAAAAGGGCAGCAGAAAGCTTAGCATACCATTGCTCGCTAGCTTGTTTCAATCCATAGAAGGATTTGAGTAACTTGCAAACTGTGTTAGGAGGAGCATCGACCAATCCGGAAGGGAGTTTCATATAGACTTCTTCATCGAGATCACCATGTAAGAAGGCATTATTGATGTCCAATTATTGCAGAAACTAATTTTTACCAACAACAATGGCTAACAAAGTCCTAACGATTGTCATCTTAGCTACATGTGAGAAAGTATCCATATAATCTACTCCCCGTTGTTGCACGTAGCCTATTGCAACAAGCCTTGCTTTATACCTCTCAACGGATCCATCTCGCCTTATGCTTAATTTTGAAGACCCATTTGTAACCAATGGGATGTTTATGAGGAGATAAAGGAACCAAATCCCAAGTCTTAGTATCCTGCAAAGCTTTAATTTCACTAGATATGGCATCTTTCTAACATGAATGTTTAATGGCTTCTATATAAGTTTTAGGTTTAATGTTGGTAGTGATGCTAATGGAAAAAGATTTATGAAAAGAAGAATAATTATCATAAGATAAAACAAAGAAAAGGGAATATGGTGTACCTGTCATTAGAATAGTAGTGTCATTCCGTGAAGATGATGTAGTAGAGCCTTGAGGAGACATGCCGAAACTAAGAGAGCAATGATAATCCCAAAGGTAGGTAGGAGGAATGACATGTCTTGTGGTTTGTCTAAGTGGAGGAAAGTTAGAATCATTAGGAGGTGGTGATGGAGAACTAGTAGGTGTGACAAGAGTAGGTGTTATAAGGAAAGGATCATCATCGATAGTAGGAGGATGATGAATTGGAAGAGTAACGACGAGGAGTATCGGATGATGATGGAAGTGTAGGTTGCGAGCAAAAGGAAATATGTCTTAATAGAAAAAGACATCCCTAGAAACAAGGAATTGTTTGGTCCTTAGATTGTACAACCGATACCCTTTAGTTCCGGACTTATAACCAAGAAAAATGCATTGGTCCGCTCTAGATGCAAACTTAGATTTATGACCAATAACGGTAGAGTAGCACAAGTAACAAAAAACTTTCGAGTTGCATAAGTTAATGGTTTATGGAAAAAAAGCTCAAAGAGAGTTTTATTATCAATGAGAGGTGAAGGTATTTTATTGATGAGATGAACCGCATGTAAAATGCAATCTACCCAAAAATGAAGTGGCAAATGAGCTTGAAATCTTAATGCTCTTACTGCATTAAGAATATGTTGATGTTTCCTTTCTACTGTATCGTTCGTTGAGGTGTTTTGGTGCAAGATGTTTGATGGATGATGCCTTTAGAAGAAAAGAATGAAGGCATGTTGAATTCTTATCCATTGTCGGTCTAATGGTCCGAATTGTAGTATGGGATTGAGTTTCCACAAGAGCACAAAACTCAGCTATGAAGGTTCTAGTTTCGATTTTTGCTTCATCAAATAAACCCAAGTTGCTATGCTAAAGTCATTCACAATGGTAAGGAAGTATAAATGGCCATGAATTGAAGGAATAGACATTGGACCCCAAATATCCATATGAACTAACCGAAAACAAAGAGTAGTAAATGATTGACTATCCGGAAAGGGTAATCTTTTTTGTTTAGAATAGTGATAAATTTCGTAATGTTTTAAAGTTACAAGTACAAGGGATATCCGAATGTGAAGCATGTAAAACTTGTAACTTAGAATTAGATAAGTGACCTAATCCGTAATGTCACAAAGCATCGAATTATAAGAGATGGTTGAACGGATACGAGGTGTAGTAACGAGAATCAGCGAGTAGAGGAAGGTTGTTTCATCGGGTATAAGCCATGTCTCTCCTCGGCTAAACCAATCATCTTCTTAGAATGTAAGTCCCGAATAACACAAGAAGATGAAGAAAATAGCAAACAATAATTCGGGGATTTAGTTAGTTTGCTTACGGATATCGAATTAAAAGAAAATGTAGGAACAAATAAGGCATCCGTCAAAACAAGTAAATCGACAAAATGACGAGTACCTTTGTGTGTGACTTAAACATAATGATTGTTTGGCAATTTTACGTACGCATATGTGACTTGATGGTAAGAGGAAAAACATGACAAAGAATAAATTATATGGTATGTGGCACCAGTATCAAGAATCCAAATAGAGGTATCAACACTATGAGTAGAATTACAAGAAGAAAAATGAGTACTGTGAAGTGTAGTGTTATGGAGGAGTGATTATTAACGGTGTTAATAGAAGATGTATGAGTATCATTTGAAGGTGTATTAGAATTTTGATTAGATGTATTATGTAAAAGTGATAGTAAACTCATGTAATGATCCCGAGTAAGTGTAAATTGATTCCGTTGTGTGAGCCACCATATCTATTGATATTAGGCAATGCAAGCATCTTTAGAACAATGAGAATCGAGTGAGCAGAGGTAGGACGAGTAACTGCAGTCGTAAATCCTTGCTTACTCGTTCTTAGAGCCGGATGGAACCGCTAATCCCGGCTTGTCGTTTCTAAAACCAAGTAAAACCAAGTGGAAATCCATGCTTCGGTAACACCGATCCACCATATGGCCCATTCCACCACAATAGGTACAAACATGTTTTTTGCCCTTAAAACGTGAAAAACTAGAGCCAACATATGTTCCATAGGAACGATTACCAAAAGTAGAAAAACCGGGTTTTGAATGACCGAATAGGGAACACCTTTGCTCGTAAAACAAGGTCGAAGTGTGAATGGATCCAAGTAGGAGCAAAAGGAACTCCAAGTTGTCTTTCATGTTGAACAACAAGAGCAAGCACCCCGTTAATAGATGGCAAAGGATCCATCAACATAATTTGTGACCTAACACTAACAAAATTGTCATTCAAGCCTCTAAGAAAGCGTATGACATGATCATTCTTCCGAAAATCCTTAACTCGTTTAGAGCTGTGTAGGAACATTGAGGAGCGCGATCCACAAGTAGGTATAGCACGTAAGTTTATGAACTCTTCCCAAAGAGTTTTCAACTCGATATAATAGGCACTAATAGAGAGAGTACCTTGATTGAATGAATGTATATCTTCCCGAAGCTCAAGAAAGCGAAAATGATCACCATGAGAGAACCGTTCTTTAAGATCTAGCCAAAGATCAATGGCGATATCGATCTACGGGACACTCGTGTGATGTTGGAAGACAATGAGTGAAATAACCATGACGAGAACCATAGTATTATAGCGTTCCCAATAAGAATAAAGAGGATATTTGGGTGGTGGTACATGTATGCTTCCATCAATAAATTTCAACTTATTTTTAGAAAGTAATGCCATTCACATAAGCACGAGACCAAGTATGATAATTCGAATCTTTCAAAACGAAGAAATAAGAACCAAGGATGGATTCTCGCTTGGATGAATATAATATGGACTAGAGGGATGGCCCTTTGGTCAAGATCCGGATCCGGAGATGACGACCATAAGAAAAATGAGAAGATCATAAAATGCTTAAAAAGGGAGTGGAAGTAACCAAAAAAACTTAGATGAGAAAGGAAAAAGAAAAACAAGAATGTTTGTAGCTAAAATGATAGTGTTTGGTTACCGAGAAAATAAAGAAAGAAAGTGAAAGAAAATTAACGCTATGATACCATAACAAAAATATTTTTTAGGGAACCGAGAGTTCAAATTTTATTCTCTCTCATATGTGCTTTATATATAGAATTAGTAACGACAAAAAAGTAAAAACCGAGCTTAGCTAATTTGTTATAACCAACTAAAACAAAGGAAAAACAAAAGGAATTAAATCGAAAGCCGACTGGTGCGTAAGATAGTAGAACGAACGAAGGAAATGAGGCACGTCTTGCATGAGGGAGTTTCATGGTAAGATTCAATGTGATACCTTTGATTGAATTTGATTAGAGTAGTGAGATATAATTGTAGAAAAAAGAATATCCTCTTTCATCTTTACGTGAAACATAAAATTACCATATGATGGTTAAATAGGAACAAAGATTGGTTAAAAGTTTTCACGCTTCTCTCAACTTTTGGTACAAAATTTTCCTCTTTATTTTTGTTAGTCTTATTGTCTTTTTTATACTCTCAAAATTATTTTAAGATCCTTATTTTTTAATCCTCCAAAATATTTCAATTTCAAAATTACATATTAATCCCTTGCTAATTTGTTAGACGCATAAGGCAAAAATAGTTACCCAAATAGTTTTTTCAATAATTTCAATCATATATTGACACATATATACACAAAAAATACATATAACTATTTAAGTCCTATAAGGCTATAACCAAAAAAACTAAAGGTAAAAATAAATAAATAAATAAAATAACCAATTAACTTTTTTTTTCCCCTTCTTTTCTTCTTATTCCTCTTTTTCCTCTCTCCACCACCAAATCACCATGGTAGGCAACACTCTCTAACCTCATAGGAACAACAAACTCATAATTTCTTAAGCATTATTAACTATTTTTCATTGGATCGTGTGACTTGAGAGTAGTAGCACAGGATTGTATGTAAGTGAGACGTTCAACAAGCCTTAAAGTGAACTAAGCAAAGGCAAATCGAAAAAAATTTATTTTTCACGTAAAAATTTATCCATTTCTTTATGTCTATTAGCAAGCTCTTAGTTGCCCCAAATTTATTGCTCACTTTGTGTTTTCTTTTTTCTCATAGCTTGTTTGAGTGCAAAACCAGACCACTTGCTAATTGCTATAAGATTGAACTGAATTGCTAAGATAATATCTGAATAATAATATAAATATGAGGAAGAATCTTCTTTTGTTTCTCATTTTTATTCTTATGGGATTTTACAGAAATGTGAAGTGATCGAGAAGTACACTATTTTCCTTGATTTATGAATTGGTTATGTGGTCGGAACTCAAAAGGGAAAAAAAGTCTAGCAACTCCTCTTTCAAGGTTGCAAAGTCATAATCATATTAGTCTATTTTTAGGTTCCTGACCTATTTTAGGTTCTAGATCGAGGGTATTATAAAGTGATATCAGGGTAAATTTGACCTAATAATACAGGTTAGGACACTGAATAAGTACACACAAGTCAGGTCTAGGAACAAGTATGTTTGATTAATTGTGATTAATACTTATGTTTGACTGATTATGTTCAGTAAACATCATTGATCTTGGCGTACATTGAGGATATTGAGGAAATTTCGCATCATTTTCTTCGACATTTCAAACAATCTTGCTTTGGGACATCCTTTATGCTTTGGGTCTTTAGTTTTTTTTAACCTAGTCATCATCCCAAGTATTTGCTCTTATGGAAGTTGACTTTTATTCGATTGCTATCATATTCGATCATTTTCTTCTCTTTCTCCCACCATTACTTCTAAATATGGCAGACTTCGTCGGCGCGTGGAGTTCCCTTGGCCTCCGGATAAATCTTCAAAACAAGACCAAAGTGACTTCGTTTTGGACCAGAAACTTGTTTTTTCCAGTGAGAAAAAATAGTCTACTGAGAAGGTTTCTTCTAGGTCATCGGATCATCGGGTCAGAGTTAGATGGAATTTGGCCATCGCAATAGCTGTAAGTGTTTATACTTTACTGTTTTGCTAGTTTGATTTTATGAAAGCAAAGATGAAGATGTTTTTGAAGTGGGTTTTTTGTGAGTTGTTGCAGATTGTGATTACTGCTTTGACTTCATTAGTGCACAAGAATTTCACTTTACATAACCAAGTTATTGATTTGCAGGTGAGTTTTACATAAAGTTTTATTTTTTTATCATCTATTAGTGATTTTAAATCTTATATAGTTAGATTGATCATTTAAAGTATTTGTTAATTGACTTTGACCTTGATGAAAGATTTTTTTGTTACTTAACTGGGCTTTTTTTCTTTTATTGTAGGATCAAGTATTGAAACTAAATGTTAGATTGCGAGCGTGTTATTTGTTATCCAATGTAGATACTTTTGATTCAGTAATGCAGGAGATTGATGATTATGATTATGGTAGTAATAATGGGCTAAAGAAATTGGCTTTGATTGTTTCACTTATGCTATTGTCTATTCCAGTTCTTGCTTTCAAGTACATTGATTTTGTATAAACATTGAGATCGTTCGATAATGTTTCGAAAAAGGTGTTATTGAATAAGCAGCTTGCATATTAGGTGGATGTTTTTTTATCTGTTCATCTATATGCAAAGCCTTTGGCGTTGTTGGTTGCGACATTGCTGGTTATTTGTCTTGGTGGTTTGGCATTGTTTGGTGTGACAGATGATAGTTTAGCGGATTGTCCTTGGTTGTCTTGGACGTTTGTAGTAGATTTGGGCAATCATGCTAATTCTGAAGGGATTGGTCCAAGGCCTGTTTCTGTTTCTATTAGTTTTGGTGGGATGTTTATTTTTGCTATGATGCTTGGACTTATGTCTGATGCTATTTCTGAGAAGTTTGATTCATTAAGGAAAGGAAGAAACGAAGTGGTTGAGCAAAACCATACTCTAATTCTGAAAGGATTGGTCCAAGGCTTGTTTCTGTTTCTATTAGCTTTGGTGGGATGTTTATTTTTGCTATGATGCTTGGACTTGTGTTTGATGCTATTTCTGAAAAGTTTGATTCATTAAGGAAAGGAAGAAGCGAAGTGGTTGAGCAAAACCATACTCTAATTCTTGGCTGGAGTGATAAACTAGTAAGATACTGATTCCACATCTTGTGAGTTTGAAGCTTGTTTGAGTCTACACATATGCTGGCAATATTATATGACTGAGTTGCGAATAGTGTAGGAAGCTCATCTCAAAAAGAATTTAAATAAACTGTGAACAATAATCTCCTTCCTAGTATAAAAAATCTTTGAAGAACTTCATAAAAGGGCAAGGATAAAACAAAAATAAATATATTTGGGTGCTTGCAAAATCTTTTTGCAAATTTTTCCTGAGTCACCAATTATTTTGTTCTGAAACTAGGGATCATTGCTGAATCAGCTTGCCATAACCAATGAGAGTTTGGGGGGAGGAATTGTTGTAGTGATGGCTGAACGAGACAAAGAAGAGATGGAAATGGATATTGCTAAAATGGAATCCGACTTTAAAAGAACATCTATCGTATTCAGAAGCGGGAGCATTTTAATTCTGGCTGATCTGAAAAAGGTATGCATACGCTATATGATATTGCTTACAAGTTGTAACGATAAAGATGTCTTCTCTACTGAAAGCTGTGGTAGCTGGGCAGATTCAATCTTCTTCAGTCGTACAAATAATAAGTGATTCATTAATGCTAAATGGTCTGATTAGTTATTCTCTCAAAAATTTTATGTTTGTTTCATTTAATTTCAGGTCATATTTGCTCCTCTTTGTTTGGAAGGGTCCATAATTAATTTAGCTAAAGCATTCCAGTTCCAAAAAGTCTATGATTAACTGTTGCTTAAAGCAGTTTATTGCATAATTTTTCATTGAATTCTTGAAGATTGCACATATCATTTCTTGTCATGGTTTTTGCTATGAATATTATTTCTTTATGTACTCTTCAAGTCCACCTTGAACTTCCTTTCTCTTCTCCCTTCAAACCTGATTATAGGAGTCTCTATTTTGTCATGAATGATGAAACCATTATTTCCTCTGTTGTTTTTCTTGATTTGGTAATGACTTGAGTTTTCAGGTATCTGTCTGTAAGGCCCGTGCAATAGTTGTCCTTGCTGATGATGGAAATGCTGACCAGGTCTGCTACTTGAGTGAACAAGTGATGTGCTTGATATCTGCTATCAATTAGCAATGATAACCATTAACTCATTTATGGTTTTACTCAGAGTGATGCTCGTGCATTGAGAACCATCTTAAGTCTAACAGGAGTGAAAGAAGGGCTGAAAGGGCACATTGTGGTGGAGCTAAGTGATCTTAATAATGAGGTTCTTGTGAAACTTGTTGGTGGAGAACTTGTTGAAACTGTTGTAGCTCATGATGTTATTGGCTATTTGATGATTCAATGTGCTTGGCAGCCAGGACTTGCACAGGTTAATTCTGCACTCTTAATACTCTATTCACATTCTTTAACATCAGCATGAGCATTATTTACCTGGTTGATTTTTTTCACTGTTTTTCCTCATCATTATTCTCTCCATAGTTCGATAAAGATCTAAATCAGTTACAGTTCTCTTAATGCACGCGGTTATATTGTCTTTATGATGTTGTTGGATTTTCTTAATGCATTATGTGGCTTCAATTGGCTTAAGACAGCTAAACTAAAGGATTTATTTTTTATATCTTAAACACAATGGTCGACCATCAGCTTCTTTCCTTAGTACATTCAGTTGGTCACTTCTTTGAATCATAAATTTATAATGGATTTTGATGCCCTACTTCTCGTATTGAGAGAGTGCATAGTATGAGCCCTGCATCCAAATAATCGTATGCCTACTGTGGTTTTGATAAATTCAGCCAGTCAATATATTGTGCCACAACTGCAAAGTCTTTGCTTTTGGGCTTTTTGTATTTACTACTTATACAATCCTCTAGCACTGAACAGCTTCATTCCTGGTTGTGTTGGCAAACTTGTTGCTTATGATCCTCTAATCTTTTTACTCACCATTCATGAAACATTTTGCCTCTATCAGGGACATGAGCTACAAAAAAGGCCAGCAGACCTTTATCTTTGTGAAGGCGAGGAATTGAGTTTCTATGATGAAGTACTCTTACGAGCCCGACAGAGGAGAGATTGCCATTGGTTACCGTGTAGCTAATGCTGAAAGAGCTGTTATCAATCCGCTAGCCTAAAGTGAGAGACGGAGGTGGTCACTGAAAGATGTTTTTGTGATAATTGCAGAGAAGGAATGAGAACGGGGCATTTTTGTTTTCACACACCCTGAACAGGATATTCTTTGAAAAATCAGATGGACACCTACGAAAACAGCAACAGTGAGAGTTCTGCAGTTTTGTTGAGTCTGAAAAAAAAACAGTAGATATTCACATGTGCAAATGGGAGAATGTACATTCACATCTAGTATATTTCTTATACAGAAATTGAGCCATGACAGTTTCGGATTTTTTACGAGGATAGAGTTACTAGTTGTTTGGTTTGGTCAAGTTCGATGCCAACCACCTTGAAAATTTTAGTAAGAGTTTTTCCCACGATTTGTATATACTTTGATGAAGCTGGAAGCAATGGCATTCCTCATTGTTCAGTATTAACACACTTGAGAGCCTAAGGACTTTATGTAACATGTTTATAGTCTCGAACAGAATCATGTAGTTGTTTTACACATTCAAATATGAAAGAGATGTATTGTTTCACAGGACAGGATAGGACAAGGAACGAGTAGTTTCAAACTGGCTGAAGCAAGTAAGACCATAGTTTTAAATAACTCCCATTACGTTATATAACGATCGTTATATATCAGTTTTAGAGCATCCCGTTATCGTTATTTTAGTATTATAATAAGTCACGATCCGTAATGATGACTGTGATCATTTTTTCACCCGTCCGTAACCTTTGTTTGAATGGTTTTTAATATTTTTCTTATGGCTTCTGGAAGCAAGTGGACAACCTTCTTCACTAGGAACATGATTATTCTAAATTGTTAACATTGGTTAATATGGACCAGACCAAACCCTAATCCTAACAAATATAACAGTAGAGGGTGATGGAGTTTGTGAAATATTTTTTCAAAAACTCTCTCCCTTATGTTGGAAACAATATCTGGTAAAAGACAAGGAGACCAACCTGATCAAGCATTATATGAGATGCACTTATGTTGCGCACTAGGTAGGGAGTCACCAGCATGTAGAAATTTAAGGAGGCAGGCCAGTCCAAAAGCAACCTTAATTCTCTGTAGCCAAGTAAAACTCCCTAAAATTGGAAAACAAATGGAAGCAGCTTAAAGTATGTTAGATATGCCAGCATGGATGACAGCAAAAAATATCCTAACTACAGTTCATCAAGTGTTCCTTTTTTAGCTTCGAACAAACCCAAACCATATTTTCATACAACAACAAATAATTTATAGAAAAAGAACGAGTACCTTTCGGAGACAGGGAATTGCCTTGCGGAGAAGGTCGTTCAGTCACTTTCCAGGCTTTTGGCTCTTGGAATCACATCCCCTTGTGGTTCAGAAAGCTCGAGACTTTACCAATCAACCAGTATTATGTGTTCATCGTTTATATCTATAGACAAGAAACATATTTATTCATGCATAGAATCAGCCTGAACAAGAAAATTTAATATCCTAAGGACTCATAAAAATATAAACTTTAACTAGAAATTTCATGAAAATATCTTTAAATTATAGAAATTATCTAATTATAGTGGGATGACGACTTGGTAGAAAAAACTGAAGACTTGAGATCTTTGTGAAAATATAGTGGAAGATTTGAGGTCATCTCTCCGGTTCAACTTTTTCTTGGTCTTCAAAGCATAAAGGAAGTCCCAAAGAAAGATTGTGTGAAGTGTCCAAGAAAGTGATGCGAAATTCCTTAATATGTGTCCAAGAAAGTGATGCGAAATTTCCTTAATATGCGCCAATATAATACTTACATCTGAAACCTCGTTATTCATACATTCCAAAGCTACGGACTTAAAAGTAGTCTTAGCTACAGATTTCAAATTAGTTGCTTCTGGTCTTTTAGTTTCTTCCCTTTGATCTCTTTGTATAACTAGCCTTCAAAACCCTCTATTTTTTTTTTTTAGCCCTTCCTCATGGCTTCTTCTTCTACTTCAACCCCTACCCCTCCCAAGAAATATGACGTCTTCCTTAGTTTCAGAGGAGAAGACACTCGTTGTGGTTTTACCAGCTACCTCTATGATGCTTTGAAGCGGAAACAAATCCTAACCTTCATAGACAATGAGCTTGTGAGAGGAGACGAAATTTCGCCTTCACTTTTGAAAGCAATTGAAGAGTCCAAGCTTTCTGTGATTATTTTTTCTGAAAACTATGCATCTTCAAAATGGTGCTTAGAGGAGCTTGTACAGATTCTTGAATGTAGAAACAATAACGGACAGATAGTTGTTCCTGTTTTCTACTTGGTTGATCCGTCTCATGTTAGAAATCAAACAGGAAGCTTTGGAGATGAATTTGCGAGACTAATAGAGGAGAAAGCTTTGGCCATGAACAACGTGCAGAGCTTCAGAAGCGCTTTAAAGGATGCGGCCAATCTATCAGGGTGGGGCTTAGGGAAGTCTGAGTAAGCTCTCTTAATTATGTTCTTTTTCTTTGCTTTTTCAACCATATGCGTGTCGTTGATTGTTGCTGCATAAGTGTCGGTATGATGATAGATTCAGATTTTTGTAAGTTTGTAATATTCTTAATTCATCTACTGTCTTTCATATACGTCAATTACATGAAGTTTCAAATTTCAAGGATTGATTAATTGTAGCATTATTATTACTTTGAGACAAAGTATAAAACTTGCATAATTCCTTCAAATCACTTTCTCTTAACTCTAATGGGTACACCTTTTGAGACCCAAGAGAAAATATATTCCCCAGGTGAACGGATGCCGAACCTAAATATAGCAAAAAGACCAGAACAATATCCTACGTACTAACAAATCCTATATGTCTTCGTGTTAATTTGTCAGGTTGCAGTCTGAATTTGTCCAGAAAATTGTGGGAGATATTTTGAACAAATTGTCAGAGATGCCCTCAAGTCACACTATGGATCTAGTTGGAATTGAAGCACGCCTTGCCGAAATTGATTCCTTGTTAAACATGGAATCGGAAGATGTTTCCCTTGTAGGAATATGGGGAATGGGTGGTATTGGGAAGACAACGATTGCTGAAGCTATATGGACCAATATTCACACTCAATTTGAAGGAACTTTTTTGCAAACTTTAGGGAAGAATTAAAAACACGTTCAATGGTTGATTTGCAAAGAAGCTTTCTTTCCCAACTATTAGGCCAAGAAATTCTGAATATGGGCCCTTCTGAGTTTCCGACATTCTTTTACAAGGGATGGACTTCACCGAAAGAGGGTTCTTATTGCTCTTGACGATGTGGATAATTTAATGCAATTGCCAGAATGGAAAGAATTGATTTTGAAACATCAATCTTCATTTGGTCGAAGAAGCAAAATTCTGGTAACAAGTAGAGATAAGCAATTGCTTAAGGAAATGGTTGGTGAAGAGTGCATATATGAGGTTAAGGGATTGAACCGTGAAGAAGCTTTTCAACTTTTTAGCATGAAAGCCTTCAAGAGTAGAAATCCAACAATTGATCATGAAAATTTGTTGGAAAGGACAGTAGATTTTGCACAAGGCAACCCATTAGCTCTTATTGTTTTGGGTTCAGCTTTGTTTGGTAAAAGCAATGAAGAATGGCATAGTGCATTGAATAAATTAGCTCTAGACCATCGAATTGAAAATGTATTGAGGATTAGCTATGATGGACTTGATCACGAACAGCAATCTATATTTCTTGATATAGCATATTTTTACAGAGGATGGGAGCAAAACCATGCTACAAGAGTATTAGAAAGCTGTTATCCGTCTGCACTATACAACATAAGCACCCTCATTGATAAGTGCCTCATAACAGTTTCTCACAGCATGATAAGAATGCATGCTTTACTACAAGAAATGGCATTGAGAATTGTTGATGCAGAATCTAAGAATCCTGGCAAACGTAGCAGTTTGTGTGTTCCTGATGATATTGTTCATGTACTGAAGAAAAAGAAGGTTAAAGCTAAACTCATTCACTTTTTTTTCTTCTCTCCCCCGGCATATTTTCCAAGGAATTTTATATCTATTAAAAATTTGAAGTTTCAAGCAGATTTTTTGAAAAAAAAATGTATATTATTTATTTATTTTTTATTCTGTATCCTTGATTTTTAGGGAAGTGACCGAATTGAAGGCATATCTTTAGACACATCCAAATTATCGAGAGAGATGCACTTGGAATCAGATGCTTTTGCTAAGATGGATCGTCTTCGATTTCTCAAATTCTACGGTGACCATCTCTTCACTGGATTTCACCTTCCTTCTAGTGGTCTCAAATATCTTTCTGAGGAGCTGAGATATCTACGTTGGGATGGATTTCCTTGTAAATCTTTGCCACAAAATTTTTGTGCTGAAAACCTCTTTGAGCTCAGTTTTTGGGGGAGTAAGGTTGAAAAACTTTGGAGAGGAGAACAGGTAAATATGATTTAATTTCTGCAAACGTGTCTGTAGGAGAAATAGAAAAGTCGAAGAAGCTAATTGTCTAATTATGCCTTTTTCTTAATTATGACAGGATCTTGTAAATTTAATAAATTGCGACCTCAGTTGCTGTGAATGTTTGACGGAATTGCCAGATCTATCAAAGGCCAAGAATTTAAAAGTTTTAAGTCTCGTTGGCTGTAATAGTTTAATTGAGGTTCCGTCTTCCCTTCAATGTCTTGAGAAGCTTGAAGTACTCAATCTCTTTCGATGCTACAATCTTAGAAGTCTTCCAAGTAGGTTTGATTCAAAGAAGCTCAGAGAATTTACTATGACTAAATGTCTAGGTATCAGTAAGTGTCCAGAGATCATTTCACGAAATATGAAAAAATTGAATTTAAGTGGAACCTCAGTAAGAGACGTGGCTGGATCAGTTACGTGTGAACATATTTATCTAGGTGGTTGCTCAAATATTTCCAAGTTTCCAGAGGGTTTACGGGATATAATAGATCTAGGTCTAAGTGGGACAGCTATAGAAGAGGTGCCCTCCTCAATCCAGTTTCTCACCAGACTGCAAATATTGGATATGAGTGGTTGCTCAAAACTGGAGAGCTTCCCAGAGACTACGGAGCCTATAAAATCTTTAGATACTCTTGATTTGGCTAAAAGTGGTATTAAACAGCTGCCCTCATCATTAAAGTATCTCGTATCTTTGCGAAATCTGAATATAGAAGGAACGCCTATTAGAGAGCTACCAGAGCTTCCCCCTTCACTAACGTTACTAAGAGCACGTGACTGTGCATCACTAGAAACCATATCAACCGTCAATTTAAGGAGTGGCTGGATTCGTTTGGATTTTTCAAATTGCTTCAAATTGGATCAGAAAGCACTGTCAGCAGATATGCATTTGAAAATTCAGGTCTCTCTTTTAAATAAATATCCTCTCCCTCCCTATTTCTCTCTTTCTTGGTTGATCGCATTTTTGAAATATGCTTTTTCTGTTACAGTCTGCAAAGATGCGAAAAATTGAAATGATGTTACCGGGGAGTGAAATTCCAGAATGGTTGAGTAATCAAGGTGAGGGATCTTCCGTAACCATACAGTTTCCCTCAAACTGTCAACAGCTCAAGGGATTTGCTTTCTCCATCGCCTTTCTATTTCCCTCAAACTGTCAACAGCTCAAAGGTGAAGTTTTAAGAGGATTGGGTTGTTGTGTCAAAACTAAAACCGGTGAGCATGAGGACCTCACTTACGTGTCAACTCTGTATTGCACACCATATTGCTCAGATCACACGTTCTTATGGTACGACGCCGCAGTATCAGAAAATCGGTTCTGTAAATTATTTGGCAAAGAGAATATATTCAGCAAATATTCTGGCAATGAAGTTACATTTGAATTCTACCCAGAGGTTTTCAGTCCGTTCGTGAGGATGACGAAGCAGGAGCTGGATGAGATCGAAAAGCTTTGCAAGGTGAAAAGGTGTGGGGTATATCTTCACTTCGATGAAAATCTACCTAGCAAGAAGTACTCTGATGAGTATTTAATTTGAGTGAAGAGGATTCAGTTGACGAGACTGATTACGAATGATCATCTTTGATGCTCTCCTATTCACCATGCCGGACACAGTTACAATCTAGTGAAGAGGTTTCCTCTGTTAATGTTTGTATGGAGGCTAACGACCGTCTTATTTGGTCTTATGATTAAAGGGCTCCTTTTTGGTCAGATCCTGTAGCTCTATGCTTAATAATTTTCTTCTAGCTTCAAAAGTAGAAGTTTTTGTTTGGCTAGCTTCCTTGAATAGATTATATACTAGAGACTCTTTAGCCAATAAAGTGGAGGTGTTGGTGATTCAGAAAGTTTCAGAAATTACTATGGCTTCTCCTTTAGCTCATCAAGTCCATTGGGTTATAGAGTCAGAACTATTGCTTGGATGCGCAAAACTTCAACTGGTTGGCCCTAAAAACTTCAGAGTATTTTTAATTATATTTCTAATTTTATATTCTCTTTAAAATCTGTTTATAATTTTTCAGGTAAAGATTAACCATGCATCATTGTTTATGAATGATTGTGCTGCCTACGAAGGTGACAGAGCAAAACATCTTTTGTGCTCAGCTATTGTTTGGTTCTGTAGTATCTTAATATTTCACTACTTTTTCTCCATCAACTATCGAGTCCAATATGCAAGCATCCATCTGACAAACAATACACTAGGATGTTCATCGATGTAATTATTATTATTAGCTTTCCTTTTTCATAATCAGGTACTTCTTATAATGAAAGTTACAAAATTTAAGATCACAATAGCAAGCATTTTTTCACATTTTCTGCAGTCTGCACAGAAGTATAACATCTACATTTATGTCACAACCTTCTGGCCAGAAAATCAACGATGTCAGCATCTACACTGAATTCACTTTGATAAACTGCTGCTTCTGCCACAGTCACTCTGTTTCTGTGGTTGAACCACAATGATAGATGAATGCTACGTCGACCTTCAATTGTGTAAATCTTAAAAATAACCGAATCCTCCCAACCCAGAACAAGGCTCGCTTTACAAATTTAGCTATTGTGTTTTCTACCAATGCAAGTTCATAACTGCACAAACTATTGCCTTCATATAGCATCTGAGGTTGCATTTTCTATCCCCAAGGCATCGGCTAAATTAAAGTTCAGATTGTTTCTCATGGTTCTGGTCCTCCCAACTCCTCCATCACCCTTTCTCATCATTGCAGCAAACTCCCCATAATCTATCCGCCCATCCTGCAAATAGCAACAGATTAACATTGTCAAATTTTGGTCTTGGCGCTTGAAAGACTTTATGCTTAACAAAAGTAGTGCCCGTTATTTCATTAATTATGAAACATGGAGAAGAGAAATCATGCAATTTCAGGCAGATGTTGAGAGATCCAGACCCTGCCTGCATATCTTTTATATTAGGCTACATCAGTACGGGCATATGGCACCTACACCTCTCAATATAAACCACGTTATGGTTAGGAATATAAGTCTGAATTCATTATCACCTGGCATGAGGTTTCATCAGCATAAACCAGTTGCAGCAAATAAGCACATGCCCTGATCCCAGTGCACCGAAACAGACAGAAAAACCAAGGCCAACCTTTGGAGAGAGAATGCAATATCTTCCCACCAGTTATCTAGATTTTCTTTTCCATTTATAAATGTGAATTCTTCTAGAAGAATCATCATGATCCAGAAAATGTATTTCCTCATTGCTACCAACTGCTTAGATCTCATATGTGCAAACAACCAAACTTCAAGCCCACAAGCAAAATACATTAATTATACTCCATCGCTAAAATTACCACCATTATACTTTTATCTGAACATAAAAGATCATAGGAAAAATATTGTTAACTGCTTTGCATGCCTTAGTGAGCGAAGGTAAGAGGGCTCCGTTATAAGGCCAATATACGCTGATATGGAACTAATATAGATGAAATTGTGGTGACAGTAATAGCACTGATTGATGAAGATGATATTTATCAACTAGAATGAAATAGGCAAGTGAGATTATTAGACCAAATATAAACATACAGACTTACATTGTCTTGATCAATTTCTTTGATCGTCTCATCCAGATGAACATCACCAAGACCAAAATCTTGGCAAGCCTGTTGAAGCTCGTCAAGGGTGATGTAACCACTACCATCTTTGTCAAAATAGGAGAATGCTGCAACCAAATTGTCCTCTCTCTCCATCTTATTTAAGTGCAAAGTAGCAGCAAGAAATTCACCATAGTCTATTATTCCACTGTTGTCTATATCAGCCTGTAGAAGTTTTCCATGCATGATTAGCAATACAAATCAATAGTTATCCAGACAATCATGTTAGCAATATAAAAAAAAAATGGTCTGAATGTTAGGCACAATAGGCAAAATAAATAATAAAACGAAATTCTTTATTCTACAGTTTGTAATAATTGTCTACTGCATCCATCAGAGCCTTGATTTCAGCTTCCATCATCTGAGAACCTACTCTCTTCAAACCATGTTTAAGTTCTTCAAATGTTATTGTCCAACTATTGTCTGTCTCGATCATTTTAAACAGCTCTTTCAACCACCAATTTCTTCTTCAGAAAGTCTTTCTGCTATGACCTACCAAAAAAAAATGCCCAATGCCATGAATGAAACTACAATTTATATAATTATCAGAAAACAGCTGTTCCATCATAGAAAGACAACAAAGTAAAGGAAATGGTTTTGGCCACCAAATTCCATCACAGCTTTTGCAAAACACAACTAGAAATACAAAGAACAGCTGAACCGATTCTTTATCATAGCATGCAAGTCCTTCATTTCTTAAATTGAACAAAATGTCTAAACTAAGGAGTGAAATCTCCCACTGTTGCATACTTTCTTTGAGAACAAATGATATGTGTCCTTTAACAAAACAAGCCCTTACTGCATGTTTATGATAATTAGCTTATTTAAATTATCCTTTGCTCAGTGGTTACACAATCAATGTTGAAGGAAATAGTTTCTCTTTCCCCCTCCATCCATTACTTGCACATCACAAAAAGCTATTAATGGTTGAATTGTTCTCAGAAAAGAAATTTTAAGTAGCATTGAGATAATCCCCTAAAAAGATGATAAATAATAAGCTTAAAAGAAGTGATGGGTGTAGCTAATCGTTTCAGGATCCTGGATTGTTTTGCAAACCAATGCTGTTGTGTGTTGACAGAGATGTCCATTAATGAGGCCATAGTTTTAAATCGTGATCGCAGTTATAAAAACAACCATAATCACGATTGCGGGTCATAGCCTATCACAGTAGTAAAACAATAATTGTGGCAGCTGATGTCGTGAATATATTAGTAAATATTAATAAAATTATTATAATTCACATAGTTTTAATAGTTTTACTAATTAAAGATAGCAATAACATCTTTCATAGTTTAAAATCATGTATCTAAAGTTGAATTTATTACAATTGAAAGTCAATAACACTTCTAATAGTTTAAACATTACATAAAGTGCATGTGTATGTGAATTGCATAAGTGCTTGGATGAGTACTCACTCTCCTTGCAAGTTTTAACATTACTTAAAGTGCTCCAATAATAATATAATGGAGCAAAAACAAAAACATCAAGTGAAGTTGTGAAATGTAAACTGAAAGTTCACATGCATGTTCAGCTAAAATATATAGTAGATAGCCTACCAGAACACTGATATAATAATTGTTTGTTTGTTGGTTTGTTTATTATTTTTTTTTTTTTAGAATCACTATTATAATCATTTGTATAATACATCCAAAGGCTGAAAAAGTAGTGACATTTCACTTGAGTTGGTGATGTTTCTTCAAAGAATCGAAAGACTTTTATTATTATTATTATTATTATTTAAGGAACAAATATAACGTCCATTATTCATCAACTAACGGCAATAACGGTCGTTACCATTATATAACACTGTTAATTGCAGTTATTTGGATGAAACAGCATTTGGCTTCCTATAATGCCATATAACAGAAACAGGCAATGCCTGAATCCATTACATAAAGGCCATTATTTGGAACTATGAGTGAGACCATCGCTCAACTGCCTTAACTACCTTCCACGTAGTATGCTGAAAATCAGGCTTCACCATTATTCAGAATTAGTGCAACTATATTAAAATCAGAATATGTGTTTGTAACATGCTTTTAGCTTTAACCATGGCATACTAAGGAAAAACTAAGTAAGGTGCCTTAAGTGCTGTGCATCTAGTTCTCCAATCGAAGGTCCCACATGGGCATGGGGACATTGGGGAACCAGATGAACAGTGCCTATCATACAACATCTAGGTTCTCTTACCAGTAATCCTTGCCTTATGTGTCAAGTTTCTCCAAAAATATGCAGGATGCCTAAGAAATCAATTGTCTATAAAGATGAAATACATCACAATATCTTCTTTGGAAGATTTATTACATCACAACACTAACATTGATTGTTAATCATCTTTTTCTCCTGATCTCAGCACTTCTGTGCTTATAATCTGGATATCACAATTTTTTCATGGTTTCAAAGTTTAAATGAACCCTAAACTAGAAATGATGATGCCTCAAACAGTGAAAAAGGTGCATAGATGTAGATCGATGTCAAACTGCTTTAGTACAGCATGAATGTTATGAAGGCAAACACGAAAATCTTCTTCCACGTGACATACTGAAACCCATTCATAGAATGACAAATATGTAAGAAACAGACCTCTATAGTACATAAACTAGTGTCTTAAAACTGGCAAAAAACCTTCAACACTACATTATTCACTCTTAGAAACAAGAAAAGCCACTATCTGTCAGAATTGAGTTGGTGCATCCAACTATTAAAGCTTAATTTTAGTTGTTTTGCATATTTTTCCCAGGGACATTTCTTAAAGCAGATACTTTCACTTTCCAAAATTTAAATGAATTGTTAAGTTGCTAGCAAATTCCTGAGGATAAATTTCCTAAACATATATACAAAAGTCTATATGGAAAATGATAACAGAAAAGCGAGGATAAGACATACACGCAGAGCCATCTTTTTAAGTTTATTCATTGCTGAGAATTGCTTCAGACGTGACAATACTGCAGAATCAAGAGGTTTGTCTGGAGCAACTCTGTCATCTACAATCCATGGGTTACCTAATAGTACAAACAACCACTGTTATGTCTTGAACAAGATGCAACAGCTTTAGCAGGGGTAGTATATATCTGCATTCCTACTACATGAAGTCCAAAACTAACATGCAATGCAAAGGAATGAAATCACTTACACAAGGCTTCATGAGCAGTAATCGTTTGCCTCGGGTCCCTCTCAAGCATCTTTCGGATCAAATCTTTTGCACTATCTGAGATATTTGGCCACGGATCAGATTCTAAATCTAGTTTTCCTTGTAAGATCTGTCTAAAGATTCCTGATTCAGTTTCTGCAATTAGTAGGAAAAAGTAAATACACTTTACGTAAAAAGAAGATAAGCAAAAAGGCATCTACTTTGTTGCAACTCTAAAACTGCAGAGAACAAGACACAATATGAATTAGGATCCCTACCTGCCCAAAAAGGTGGAACCCCACTTAATAAGATGTAAAGGATAACACCTGCACTCCAGACATCTGCTTGAGGTCCATAATGCTTAAGCAAAACCTCTGGTGCAACATAATACGGACTCCCAACTACATCATGAAAATATTGTCCTGTAGGGAAAAGGAATAGGGGAGAAATTAACCAACCATACATCTTTGACAAAATACCATTCAGAAACTCAGGGAACATTTAAGCATATACATAATTCCTAGCAATTTATATTTACCAAAAGAAGGTCAACTCAAGTTAGAAAGAGCAGAAGAAAACAATGGACAGATATTTCTTTAAGAGGTTATAAACCTCAACCATATACTCAAAACAATTGTTTTCTGTTTATTATGAGGGAGTATCCTCATTTTACTTTCTTCGATAGTAATTCCATCATATTTCCATTTGTCTTTGCTAACAGGTTATTATTCCAGTGAAAACGGATGCAGGTAAAAGAGAAAA